CTGACTTCCAGAGCTGGAAAGGCTCGCTAGCTGTGCACATACGATATATCCACATATTGCGAAGCTCACCATCCAGCAACCCAAACGCTCGGACGGCAAACGCGGACACACGGCCGCATCAGCCCCCATGGAGCGTGGAGATGAAGACGATCTCGTCTCCGTCCTTCAGCACGTACTCGCCCTCGCCTTCCAGCTCCCAGTCCGTGTCGTTGACCAGCACGAGGATCCCCGGCCGCCTGTCTCCCTGCACTCAGGTTTCGGGTGTGGAAAGGGGGAGCGTCAGAGGGACTCACACTGTCCCGTTCTCCTCAAAGAGCTCTGCCCGCTCTTGCAGCAGGTTGGCCCTCAGCCATGCGATCAGAAAAGCGATGTCCGCCGGCCGACCGCCTCCTCCCGGGGGGTGCACGTCGGTGTCTGCGCCCGCCGGGGACGGTGCGCGAGCGGGGATCGTCACCGTATGCGACCGTTCGTTCGAGAAGAGCAGTTCAAGCCCGCCGCCAAACTCGACCTTGAGCGAGATGGCTGGAGAGGATGTGGCGGACATGGCGGTGCGTTGGGGAGAGTCAATCTCGACAAAGAGCGCACTCGAATCGATCTGTCGTCGGTTGGCGCGCAGATGCAGATAGCGCGTCTGCCAATCATCATGCATCATCCAAACTTTCCCTAACGGATCTAGCGGAGGACGGTAACTCCTGGTAACTCTCGATGGTTCCAACCGGTAGAAACCATACAATAAGGCAGATCGTTTATCCCATAAGTAAACTAGATATTAGACATAGAACGTAGCATATTCCAAGTACTCCAGTCAGCACAAGTGTCCCAGCAAGCAGCCATCTCAGCCCCACAGCGCGTCCACATCAACTTCTCGAGGCCCTTCTTGGCGGTGCCCACCACTCCGTACGTGCTCCTCTTCGTCCGGCGGGAGCGTGATCGCGCCCTCACGGGGTCGGCGGAACCTGGCCCACAGCGCCGATACCACCAGTGCGAGCGGGTGTGCAATTGTAAAGAGCACAGCGGTGAGCTGCAAGAAAGTCAATTACAGCTACCACGAAAAGTCACCAGTCGGAGGAGAATCAACGCACCCACACAGGCATCGGCTTCGGCGAGCGGCTCCAAATGCTCGCACACATCCAGCACGCGGAGACGCACCACACGATGTCTCTGCGGAGGACGACCACGAGCAAGCCTGTCAAAAGGCATGAGGTTCAGAAAACCATTTCTGGGAGTGCGCACGCACCGAGCAGATTGACGCCGAGAAGCACCCCGAATCCAGCCCACTGGTGACGGGCATAGTGCTGAGGTTCGCCGGGAGAGAATGTATATCCCAACGTGATGCTACGCGATACGATCAGTGTTTCGAGGAGAAGGATGGACCGGGATTTTAACACACAAGAGGCTATAGGGGAACATGATCATGAGAGGCCAGAGCATAAATGCGCGCAACGGGGCGTGGATGAACATGACGTCGAATGGGCTATCATTGCGACCAGGTCAGAGTTATGACATGGAGAACAGGCAAGGAATACGCGCACCGAGAGCCGGTTGGTTTGTGATATACGAGCAGGACGAGGTTTGCGTATAGGAGGAGGACAAGGAGGACACCAAGCGCGATAGTTGATAGGAGGAATGCTTGTAGGACCTGTAAGGCACGAGTGACGATATATATGAAGTTGCGTCATAACCGAGAGAATAAGAATGGGGACGCACCCATGCGATGGCCCATAGTGCCATCACCCAATTTGCGATCACGAGCGGAAGACCGACACCCTTTACGAGCGTGTTCTGGACAGGATGCGCGGTTAGAATAGAACGTATGTGCGGGACGTAACCGCACCTTTGTCTCGGGTTTCCGTGCAAGCACAAGGAGCAAGCAGTAGCCTATTTGTCCAACGTATATGAGAACGACGTATACGGCGATGAGCCACGAGTTCGGCGCAATTGTGGAGGGATAGAGATCTGATATCCGTCCTATCCAAAATGAAATAAGCGTGACTTGGACCACGGAGGGATATCGATATCCTACCGAGTCCGGGATCCAGTACGAATGAACATACCACAACAGTCGCGATGTTGATGAGCAAAGATAACGGCGTGAGGACTTGTAGTCTGCAAGAAAAAGAGAATATGACTGGTCAAAATGCCCGCAGCAGGTATTGGGTGAGCGAAACCGAACCGAATGAGAGCAAGGTAATCCCTGACTGCGGGGTGGGCTGTATCGATGGGTAGACTTTCCATCATCTGAGCACCAGGAAAGCGCGTGGACTTGAGTGTGTGAAGTTCTGGAGTCTGAAACGGGTTAAACGCGAGGTGGACGCGGTAGAGAGAGGGAAGATTGGGACTCGGACGAGCGGCTGCGAGCATGGAGTCAGTGATGTCATGGGCCGATCGCTGAATTTGGCCATGCGCTAGCCATTTTCGGACTCGCCATCTTTCGACGTCGTTCAGGTCTACGCGCTGGATAGATCTGGCCCGCTAGCAGATACTGATATCTGGAGTCCAAGCGCTATGAGAGCCCAGCAGTCGAACGGATATTACCGCAGCGCGAAAAAAAATGCGAGTCAGCTTGGGCGAGCCAGTGTTACGGGCCACATGGCTCGTATTGGGCTCGTAAAGTTTGGTCGAGGATATCCAGGCACACTTGGGACATATTTTGTCTGTTGGTCCATGGCAGATCCGTGAACGTAAGGCTGAAATATTACCTTTGATCGGCGTTTGCATGGTATTTATCCTAAGGAACAAGTAAGCGCAGCACTTCGTGAGTCACTGTCATCAGAAACCATGAGGAAGACAAGGTAGAGGACAGCATTCCTACTGCGTGTAGATGTGCCTGAATGGATGGAGAGTAGTCAGGATAGCTCGTACGTGAAGTTGATCCCATTGGCATCGCAATTGCTGCGGGTACATACTTTGTAGACTGTTGGGCACTGCATCACTCAGGCTGCAATGACAATGCTTCCTGCGGGCATCGGTCCCACATAGGGTGCATGTCTGAGAATTGGCCATGCAAGTCACTCTGACCACTGGTCAATCTCAGAGGCCTACTATCATTGCACCAGTAATGCAACCTTATTCAGTATCTGGGCTCCCTATAGTGCAAATCTTACCAGAATGTTTCGGAGTAAGTACACACATGAATTTCGTGGGCTCAGTATGTTAAGAATTAAGCAATACCGAGAGCAAAATAATATCGCAACAGTAGTGCAACTTTTCTCCGAGGTGCGCCACGTCAACCGTCACAGTGCCGCGCATGCCGTCCTCTTTGTCCGCCCGGCGTTCAGTGGCTGGATTGCGAAGCTATGCGAAGTACGCCACCACTACCATCAGCTGAGTCAAGATTCTCGATGCCGATTGTCACAGATTTGAGTCACTATCATTCGACACAGAATTCAGGAGGGGTTCGCTATGCAGATTATTCCGGAGAAATTAGAATAAGAGTGTGTATGCACTTCACATGGCCATGGTGCATTATTGTGTCAATCGGACATGGTAATCACCTACCCGAGGCCACTCTTGATTGAGATGTAGCCCTCAAAACACACTCGCGAGGCATTCGAGTCACTCTTGTATTTTTCATGCATACGAAACCTACACAGTAGTGATCATACTATCATACATGATTTATTGGTATTTCTAGAGGTGGAGGAGCAGCCGTAAGCTCAGTGATTGCACTACTGTTGCGATTGCATTACCAGTGCAATGATAGTAATCTACCGTGTACAGGCAACAGCGTGAGTGGCGG